AAAGCAGGTTACCAGCCTAGAAGAGGGGTTTTTTTTAACTTTTATTTTTCGTCTTTCCAAGTTGCCATCATGCTGTGGAAGCAGTTAAAAAAGTTGCTCCTGAGAAACTGATTCTCAGGTATCTTTCATCATTGCCTGAGTAACAAGGTTGGAAATAAATGCATTTGCTTTGACTTGACACCTGTATTACGTGGGTTTTTTCCTCTACCAATTTGTTTTTGTAACCTCTTCCTTTTTCATTTCCATTACCTGAAGTTCTGCTTTCTTTGCTGCTGTGAAACTTACATGCTCACTTTTACCATGCTTTTCTAGCTGCTAATTTTGGGTGGGTCTCTTCTGAAGCTCTGCACAGAGGAAGTAAGGCACCCTATAAATCTGACAGCCCTCTCCTTAGTAATTTTTTTCCTGGTGACTGTATTTTGGCATCCGAGTAAGGCAGTGGATGGTGACAGGCTGATTTCCTTGTGCACACGGATGGGAGCATGTGCCCACAATCAGGACTCTTTTCTGACCATACTTTGTGATGAGTGGCATATGGTTAGAGAATTGCTGTCCAGATCAATTGTGCCAATCACAGAGTTCTTTTATTTTGCACTTAGGACCCAAGTGTGAGATCCTGGATCCGAATCTCACTGAATTATTGATATGGGTTGGAACCAACTCACTGTGTGTGTGCATGTGGGGAAGAGCTGGACCTGGACCTGCAAGTACATGGAGGTTTGCACCCATGCAAAGCACGTGGCATCACTGAAGGTCTGTAGCTGGGCTGTCAGTCAAGGCAGATCTGCCTGGTAGCCCACTGTAGTGGTTTGGACCTTGTTTTCCCCCAGAGGCTGAAAAGTGGTAACCCCCAGGGGTGGAAACCCCTGGAAGTTTTGGAGTTCTGTCCAATGAGCGCTCCTGCAGAAATGTAAACATATCACAAGCACCAGAAGAGAAGAGTTGTAGTTTGGTTGATAGAAGAAAGTAGCCATGTTGTTGTAGGAGCCACGAGGAAAGGGGCCCGGAGCCCCTCGGGGCCTCTGGGGCCCCCCAGCCCCAGATGGGGGCTACAGGACAGGGACCTGGAACAGCATACAGCTGGGCTAGGTACCTGTAGTTGTGAGCTGGGAGATGTTTTCTCCAAGCTGGGCAGTGGCCAGAGAAAGCAGCAGCCAAGCTGGCACTGACCTGAGAAGCGGTGGCAGAGAGCCAGAAGAGATAAGACAGAGCAACAGAGACATGCAGCACCGCAGAGAAGACTCCTGGAAGGAGAGTTAAGCAGCAGAAAGTTGCAGCAGAACTTTGGAGTTCTGGGGGTAGGAACTGTACCAAACCCCCCAAACTCCTTGAGACCTCCTGGAAGGAGGAAGATGATAGACTCTTGCTTGAAAGAGCCTTGGAGTGCTACAGCACTACAGAGAGGAGCTGAGAAGCTCAAAAAGCGTCCTGGGAAGCTGGACCGGGACGGAGAAGGAATGCGGGGGGGTTGACCTTGGCCCCCCTCGCTGCTGCTGCTAAGCTAGCAGCCTTGAGACAGAGCACAGAGCTCTGCAAAGGGGAATTTGAATCCCCTGAGGAAAGGGACTGCCACGAAGACCCCTGAGCTTCGTGGTATGATGTGGTGACGCGAGCTTGTCCCTGCTACGCAGTCCACGGAAGAGAAAGACCCTCGTTTTGGAGACGACGGGCCGAGGGGCCTGGAGACCCCCTTGTGTGTATTGGACAGAGATCCAGCTACAACAATCCAGTTACTGCTGCATGCATGAGATGAGGAGAACCTGCTGCCTTAGAAGAAGCTGCCGCCCTGAGAGACTGGAAAGGATCTGTCCTTCTTTCCCTCCTGGACTTTTATTTGGAGGGGAGAGGAGATCTGATCCATTGTAAGTACTATATGTCATGGTAGAGATAGTTGTGATTGTGTGTATAATGTGTTATAGTATTTATTTGTACAGTCATTGTAATATATTCCCTTTCCCCCATTCTGAGTCTGGTTGTGTTTTGTCTGGAAAAACCCATCCCACATTAAGTTGAGATGTGGGAGGGGGGATGGAGCTAGAGAATTGGATTTTAGAGCTATCTCAAACCATGACACCCACCCACATCACACCCCTAGAGCCTGTGACTGGCTACAGCACAACTCACTCTGACCAGGAAGGCACTGACTGGATATCCTGCCTGACAGGGAAAACTGAACTCTGTAAATACACAACACTCTATGTAGTCTCTCTCTTCTCCCTGTCCAGCTGACATCATGTGAACCATTGAATCATTGATAACTATTTTCTCGTCTCCTTTCTCTCTGTTTCTTCTCTCTTTCTTTATTCCTTTTAATCACTCTTCTTTTTTTCTTCTCTTGTGGGTAACTTAAAACTGATTAATTGTGTTTTACTAAAGCTGGTATATTGATTGTTTTTAGTAGGTATTTCCTGTGGGATGGGTCTTTGTGCTGAATGTTTTAGTGAAATGCTTTTATCATGGTTGTATTTTACTCCTGTAAAAACTTTTTGCCAAAATATCTTATTTTTCTCACTAAATTAAAAGAATTTCTCTTAGAGGAGAGTGTGTGACTCTTTCTCCGGATGCTAATTACAGGTTATAATGAACCAAAAGGCTTTTAAAAAGTCTTAAATAAAAATGTAACCTCTCTGGGCAGATTATAGCTTAATCTGGATTGTAACACCAAGTGGTCAGGCAATTCTCCTTAATGCAGAAAGCAGCAATACTGCATGTGGCATTCATGTTGATTTTTTTGGCAGCAGTCAGCCTGGCAGGAGCCAACCAGGCTGGACTCCGCGATGTGAGGGAGGGCAGGAAATGACAAGGCTGCACATCGCTGACCCAAGCAGGGTCGTGTGTTGGGAGTGGAGATGGCACTGCCCATGTTCACCTGGTGGAACACTGTGATCTGTTCAGGGCTGTGCTCCAGGGGTTTGGGCAGGAGCAGTGTGATGCCCTCAGAACTTGCCCTTGTGTAGTCCAACGAAAGGGTGTTTTATTGCGTTCCTAAGAACTGCACCAACAGCTGTAGACTTCCTCCTCTATTTTAAGGGTAAGGATGTGGTGACAGCAAGAAGACAATTGATGGGATTGGAGGCCACTTGCTACATTTTGGTCAGATGTGTAACTTGTGTAATGGGTGGGTTTTCTAGGAGAAAACATTCTGCAGTGGCAGAATGGTTTCCATAGACACCAAGTGAGATCCTGTACAAGTACCAGGTCACAGCGTGACACTTCAGGCCCTGTAAGTACTCTCAAAGCCTTGATGAAGTGTTTTAAGAGTTAATTGACTGCTTGAAGTAAGCACATGTCTGGCAAATCATGGTGTTGCCTGCTGAGCTGCTGTTTTTAGAGAAGAGGGTCCTGTCTGACAGGTACCAGACAGAGCACCCTGTTTAGTTACCACACCTGGCATTAATGACCACGGAAATCTACAGCCGTGATTCTTGGAACAGTGGTGACTCATGGCTGAAGTGCTGCTGTTTGAGAGGGCAACGGTGGTGTCTGCTGTTGGGCACGTGCCTGGGGGTGGGTCATATCCAGGGAGTAGTGCAGGTAACATGAACAGGACATTGGAACACCTGGGATTTCCTTAAAACTTCACATGTTTGTAGCTTTCCTAACATAACTTGGAGTCTTTTTCATAACTTGTGACCTGTGTTAGGTGGTGAGGTTTCTTTGGTTTGATTTTGTTTTTGTAGATCAAATCAAAAGAGTGGGTTTACCACATGAAAGATTAAAGAGGTTTTAACAAAAATTGGAGAGAGTTGTGTAATTGACTTCCCTTGCCTTCCTCTCCCCTAAAGAGTGTTATTCCCTGAACTGTTGGAGTGAGTTCTTTCAGTTGCCAGCGGCGGGAAACACTTCAGAAGGGTCTGCTGAGGGGTCTTCATGTTGTTGGCTGAGATCCCCCTGACAAGGCCACTCAAATCACCCTCTGATCTTGTGAATCTTTATGTGAAGGATCTCATTACAAGATGCCACGGACTGGCTGGACACAAGGGTCTCGACTTTCCTGGGGGCACTGACAGGCAAAAATCTAAACTCCCTCCTTTTGGGTGGCATTAAATTGCTGCAGTGAAGCAGGGTTGTCAAGGATAATCTGCTGCAAAAATACAAATCTCTGCCTTCCCAGGTTGGGAAAGACTTGGTTCAAAGGTTTCAGAAAGTTAAGGGGAAAATTGTGGTATGCATAGAACAATGTCAGGTTAGGCAGAAATGTAAGGAAGGAAATGGTAAAGGTACAATTCATGTAGTGTTATAAGCCTGTTCGTCTTGTGCACAATTAGAAGCTAAAAATTCACCTGCTTCTGAATGGATTTCTGATGTTGAGTCTACTGTTTTGAAATCAGAAAACGTGGTGTTGAAGTCATCGTTAGCCTTTCAGAGGGAAACAGGAGAAAAATGGGATAAACTTGTTGCTAAAAATGAGCTGCTTCAAACTGAGGTTGACCACCTTCAAAGTGTCGTTGCACCAGAGTGCAGAGAGAAAACTTACTAAAAAAACAGGCTCCTGGTTTGGTCAGGCAACTTCATTAAACAGTGTCTTACCCCGGCATTGAGGCTTGGGAAACCACAGAGAACCCTGATTCTGAGGAGAGACAGAAAACAGAAGGCTTTGAAGTTCAACTGATGTTTCTACAGTCTCCCAACTTTCCTCACATTAGTGAGAATTGGTTCAGAGGGTAATGAGGATGCAGCTTCTGCTATGGGGAATTCTAAGCGTTCTGGGGTCGGTAAGACAACCTGGTAAGTAACACTTGAGTGAATGGGGGGTTGTCTTGGGGGCTTGTTTCCTTTCTCTTTTCTGTCTCTTGGTTTCTCATTTTGTTTGCTACTTTCTTTGGAATAAATGTTGTTTTGTTCAGCTTTCAACTGTGTACTGGTTTCAGTTTTGGCAATCTCCCTGCTACACGCAGACATAACAAACAAATGACAGCATCAGCAGATGCCTTTCCATTCTTCTTTCCCTTCCCATTCCCCATTCCTCTTTCTTTCCCACTCCCACAGCCAACACACTATTTCACTTCTCACTTGAACAAAGCTCTTTTCTCCTTCAAGCCCCTCAAAGGCGCCAAGGCCACATAGGAGGCCACACACAAACAGTACTCCTCTTCCCACGTGACAACACCTTCCCCCTCACTGTTCTACAGGGAACACCATGAATCTACTCGCAGAGGCCTCTCGTTTCCCATCAGCAGCTCAGCACAAGGAGCTAAAGGAGCTCAAACCTTAGGCCACAAGAGCTGACAGCAAGGAAACTTTGGGAGCAAACTAATGCTGCTAACACGGACCCAACTGAATCCAGCACACGATCACAGAATCCAAGAGTCCTTCAACTTGGAAAAGACCTCCAAGCTCACTGAGTCTTGTGCAGCCCCTCCCCGACCGCCTGCAGGGACTGGATGATGCTTTGCACAAGCACCAAAAGGAATACTGTGAAAGCCATGGCCTGCAGGAGGACACAGAGAAGGGCTTGGCTGGGGCTGGGAAGGAGGGAACTGGCGCTGGGGGAGAGGGGACAGGAGCCTCAGGGATGTGGTGCAGCAAGGACAGGGGCCAGGCAACACCCCCCGCCCCAGCAGCAGCACCGGGCCCTGCCCAAGGCGCTCCTGCCAGGGGCTGGACCCTGCAGGCAGGGGCAGAACCCACTCCCTGGGGAGGCCTTGCTGCCCCGGTCCTCATCTGGCCCAACCTCTCCCTGTGTGCCTGCTCCCCGCAGCACAGGCTGCACTGGGCAGCATCCCCTGATGGGCCCTGCAGAGCTGCCCCACGGGGACACTTCCCTTTGTTACAGGTAAATGAAACTTAGGCTGAAATATAGCAGAAAAAAATTTATTAAAGATTTATATAAAATGCAAATAAGCCAAACAGCGTGCTGGGCTGCCGGGGAGACCCCTACTCCACTCACGGCCAGCAAACACAGTAGGCAAAAACAGTAACCTTTATACCCTTATCAATTTCCCTCCCATAGTCACTTGTTATCCCTCTATTGGGATATCCCTCCTGGAGCCGACCAAGGACTGCTAGTAAAATAGAAATGTTTTAGGTAAATGAACCAAATCAAAATTTAGCAGCAAAATTTATTGTAAGATTTATATAAAGTGCAGATAAGAAAATCAGCGCGCTGGGTGGCCTGGAGAGACCCCTGCTCTACACCAGCCCACAAGCGCAATACAAATAAACAGCTACTTTTATACTCTTTTCAACCCCCTCCCATAGTCACTTGTTAGCTCATGGTTGGGCTTGAGTTCGTGGGCTTCGTTCTGGTTGGTTCTGTTGCAGGCCCATTTTGATTGCCAGGGACTTTCCATCAGTATCTTTAATTAACTCAATGTCCTTGGAGTTGGGTATGAATTATGGTGTCCAGATGTTCTCCTTGGCTCTTCTTTATCATTTTCATCCTTGACCCTCTGATCCTCGTTCTCTTCTTCTTTTCTAATGAGTACACTTAAACAATATTTTTAGAAAAGCAGGATATGGTATACGCGCTCAGTAAAACAAGATACTTTATCTTTGCCAACTAGGTAGGGAACTGCCAGTTACAGGACAGTCAACTTATAATAGTAACACAGCAATTAACTATTCCGCAGCTTACAACTCCCTAGTCCCAACCAAGCATTAGCTATAATATACAGAAAATACAATATATATTTTGACGAGTAAATTTTACCATTGCTTACTTATTACAGAAAGAACATGTGACTGGGGAAGGGGTCAAGTGGACTAGGGCAGCACTTTTCCTGGACAAACCTCCTTGTTCCAGTTCCAACAGACACAAAAAACAAGTGACAGCATCAGCACAGAAGCTCCTCTTTGCCTTGCCTTGCCTTGCCAGACACAAAAGACATCACCTACTGGACTCTGCCCAAACACCAGCCCCCTCCTCTCCCTTCTCAACCACAGCCTGCACACACCCACACCTGCCAGGGTCAGCTGACTGTTTCTCTTCTCTTTTCTACCTGGGGGCTAAAGAAGAAGGACAGGGAGGGCATTTGCCTTCGGGTCAGAGGGAAGGGGAAGGAGATCCCCCCAAACCCATCCCTGGCAGGATGGGGGCTGGGGGGGACATTGGGGGACCCCCAAGAGTATTTTCGAGGGGGGGAAAGGCTGGGGCACCCACAGGGGGTTGGGGGGGGAGGAGGGACCCAGAAATCTCGTGGTGGGACACTGGGGGATTCCCAGTAGTTTCTTGGAGGGGTTGACCCCCAGCAGTCCAGGGGAAAAAAATGAATGGAGGGATCCTCCGTAAAGGGTTGGGGAGACCCAAAATATTCTAGGAGGGGGTCAGGAGGGACCCAGGAGTCCTGAAGAGGGTTTGGGGGTCCCCAGGAGGGAGTTTGGGGGTCTGAGGTGGTCCCAGGAGATTTTCAAGGGTTAAGGGGATGCACAGGAGATTTGGGGGGGGCGGGGGAAAGGCGGACGGGTGACCTCCAGGAAGGGGGCTTTCGGAGGGTCCCCAGGAGTCTTGGGGGGAATCTGGGCGGTTCCCGAGAGTTGGGGGAGATTTGGAGGGGTCACCAGGAGCCCCCGGATCCCCGAACTCACACGACACCACCATGGCCTCGTTGGGGCCGCACGTGAAAAACATTGTGGCGGGAGGAGACCCTGGGGTCAGGATCGATTGAGATCAATCGGGTTCAATCGCGATCGTCCCCTCCCCCGCCACCACCGCCCTGCTCCCGGTAGCCCCCGCAGAAGTATCGACGTTCTATTGGATGAGCCACCGGCACAAGGAGAGGGGCCAAGCATAATTTGCCAATGACGTCATTCCAGCAGAGTTCTTCTATTGGCTGCGACCCATGAGGGAGCCCCAAAACCTGTTCATGACTTGGGGGGGAAGGAGAGCCAGTATGGCCAGGTACGGTGGTGCAGAGGGTGCTCCAGTGCCCAGGAAAGGGGTAAAAAGCTTTCCCCTCTCTCTCCCAGTGCCCCCTCAGCCCATCCCAGTATCTCCCCTGCTCTCCCAGTGCCCTTGTCCATCGAGGTCCCAGCCTGGTCCCGCCCCCTGCTCTGCTCTGGGCTGGATTTCTCCCCTGCAGGGGTAGTTGAGGTGGTTCCAGGGCAGGCGAGAGCTTTCGGGGCAGGGGGTGGCTCCCAACGTGCTGCTGGAACCGCCCCCTGCCAGGGTAGGCCCATCAGCCTGGGACATCTCCTCACCTGAGCCTGGGGGACGGGCTGGCAACTGGGAGGGGGTTTGGGAAGGAATGGGGAGGCTGAGAAGGGGTTGGGGGTCATGGAGGTAAGTGGGAAGGGGTTTGGGGGAGCTTGGGGGGTTGAGAGGTGTAGGGAGCATGTCTGAAGGGACAGGGGATGTGCCAGGGCAGTGGGCCCGAGAGAGCATGCGCAGGTCACATATAACTCTATTGGCTGAAGAAGTCACATGGTAAACAGGGATATAAGGAGCGGGAATTTTGAAATAAAGCCTCTTTGACCACACCACCGCATGAGGAGCGTTATTATTCCTTGTTATACAAGGACCTCGCCGTTACATATGGCAACCCGAACAGCGACACATTTTAGCTTATATTAAGCCAATTATCCTGGACTCTTTTAGCTTATATTAAGCCACATATTCTCCTGAATCAGGAAACCAGTCGGTGGTTCCGGGATCGTCTCAATTCTCGGAGACGGGAATCTTTACTGCAAAAAACCTTGACGTCAATAAAACCGTGGTCTCAGTAGCGTCTGAGAAACGGAAAGCTAATTTAGGAGCTCCAAAAATATTAGGAAAGTGCACGAGAGAAGAGAAGAAAGAAGTTGAAGAAGAAACCGAGAGGGCGAGCAGCAACCGGAGAGAGCAGAGGGTCTGCACAACATCAAAAGCGGTGAGTCGGACTGGGAGGCATTCCACTCACCTAAGACTGCTCCCTGGGCGAGAGTGTGCCTGCAGCTCGGAGACCCAGGCCGCAGAGCCCGGAAGATCGTCAGGGAAAAGCCTGTTGGTCCCCGTGCGTCGGTCAGTCTGGTAAAAGCGGCCTTGCCGCTGCCGAGAGCACCAACCGGACCACGTGCGAGAAGCGGTTTTCCGCTGCCGCATCTTAACACCCCCAGCCACCGCTGACCCCCGCGGAGCCCCGCTTCAGTTTTCTGTCCAGCAGAAATTGCCGCGGCTCCCCGCCTGCTCACCACCGCTGACTGACCCTGCGGGCGTGCTTAAAAAGCACTGCCGCAAAAAAGCCCCCGCGCTGCATTCAAACCGCATGGGACTTTACCGAAGGCCTGATACAGCGTGCCCCGACCCCCGCACCGCCCAGCGAACTGCAGGAGCCCCAGAGCCACCGCTGCCGCACCGAACCGCCGCCCCGGCGAACGCCGTGCTCGCCGGAGACAGAGCCGGACCCGCGCCGAGCCGCCGCCGCGTGACTGAGATGCCGCCTCCAGCGCCGCCTCCGCCGTTCGCCGCTTCAGCAGCCCGCACACGCCGATCGCCTGCAGCCCCAAGCGCCGCTTCTGCAGCCAGCCCCGTGCCCGTCGCTACAGCTGCCCCATGCCTGCCGCCGCTGCACCGCCGCTCGCAGCCGCACCGGGACACCAGCGGCCACCACCGGGACGCCACAGCCCAGCCGACAGAGAGCCAACACAAATCAACAAACCGACAGACCCTCTTCAGCAGCGCACACTAGCAGCGCCGAGACTCAAAGGTAAAATGGGAAACTTTTTCCCCACCGAGCTCTCACAAGACACAGACGCATTAGCTACACTGCTGAAACCTTATTATGAACAGGTTACAAGGGCTGAATTAACAGAGTTGGTACGGCTCATTAAAGCAGCTGTACCAGAACTGCCTCTGGTTGAAACCCTCCACATACAAATTTGGGACAAAATAGGGAACCTCATCAAACTCAAGGCTCAGGGAGGAGACTCCCAAGCAAACAATGCTTACCCAGCCTGGCAAGCTATAATGTCTGCATTAAGCAGAGCCCACCAAAGAACGACAAACACGCACACCCCCACTCACGCTGCAAGTAGCAGCCCAACTCTTACGCGCCGTAGTTTAAACACACAAAACTCGGCGGGAGGAGGGGGTGGAACCGTTCACAATTCCACTTCGGGGAAGGGAACCGGGAGCCCAAGGGACACGGGTCGGCGGGAGGGGACGGGACCTGAGATGCGAGATTCCAGCCTGTGGAATCACCGCAGGGGGTCCCATAACAGCTATGGGGGGGCTAGCCCAGCATACGTGCCAACCCATCCCACGGATGAACACCGACCACGTGTCCAGGGGCGGGCACCGCCATCTCACCCGCCACGCAGAACGGACAACAACCTGTCTTTCCCCGCCCCTGCGCCGTACTCCCCACCACCCACCACCACCCACCCACATGCAGCCGCTTTCGCCGAAGTTGCAGCGGGGGAGGGATGGGAGGAATGGGGGGAGGAGGACGAGGGGGATTTCGGGATAGCTTTGCCGGGAGGGGAGGAAGCAACATACGGAGAAGGTTCTATTGATAGATGGGGTCTGTGCAGAGAGGAGGCATTGCGAATTGGGGACTTACAAGTTATACAAGCATGTCCAGTAATTATCAGGCCACACCAAAGCCACAGGTTTCAGCCATTGCCACATGAGCTAACCAAAGAACTGAGACAGTTAATGAGAGAAACTGGTGTATCTTCCCCTAACACACTCGCATTTTTAGAATCACTGAGCTCCACATACATTTTCATGCCACATGATTGGAAAACACTGTTGAAAATAAGTCTCACTAATACACAGTATAATGTATGGTTGAACGATTTCAGAGAAGTCTGTTCCGCTTATGCTAATGACCCACAAGCAGGGGTAACAGCACACCAACTCACAGGGGAGGGTAACTACCATTCCATAAATACACAAACCGAGTACAATAGAGAAATATATGAAGTCATAACAAAACATGCCATGCGGGCAATGAAAAAACTACCCACATCAGACAAAGACGCAAACTTGTCATTCACAAGGGTAATGCAGGGCCCAACAGAACCTTACACACAGTTTCTAGATCGGCTGCAATCTGCCTTAGATAGGCAGATAGAGGAAGATAGAGAAATTCTTAGCAGAAGATTGGCTTTCGAAAACGCTAACGTTGATTGTAAAAGAGTTTTGCAAACCCTTCCTAAAAGGGAAACTTGCAGCATCTCAGAATTAGTTCGTGCCTGCCAAGGGGTTGGTACTTTGACACATCAGACAGACTTACTGGCAGTAGCACTGAGTGCTCAATTAAGGACACAGCAGGGGGCCAGGCCCAGGAATGGTTGCTACATTTGTGGGGCCCCCGACCACTTCCAAAGGGATTGCCCTCAGAAACCCCTAGTAGTGGCACCCCGCAAGCACCCAAAAGCAAGGAGGGTGCCAAAAAACTGGAGGAGAGGGGCGATGTCTCACGCCCCGATACAACAAACACATGCAACACAAGGGAACAGGTGGGCGATTTGTGCCCCCCCACAACAGCCAGCAATCTGTGCCCCTCCACCCCAGCCAGCGCTGGGCTAGACTTATCCAACAGGGACACAGTCTTCATAACTTCCACTGAGGTAGTGCTAATCCCGACTGGACGTTGAGGTCCCCTTAGCCCAGGGGTGCACGCACTGCTGATTGGAAGATCCTCCACCACCAGAATGGGTTTGTTTGTTCTACCAGGTGTAATAGATTCAGATTCTCATAGTGAGATTCTAATAATGGCATGGACTCCCTCACCCCCCTGTTTCATCCCCAAAGGACAGAAAATTGCTCAATTAATCCCCTTCTACAGTACGTCGCCTGCAGGGGAGGGGGGGAGGGAGTAGGGTTCAGGGGCCTTTGGTAGCACAGGACACCCACAGGTTTACCGGGCAACAGCCATAACAGCCACACAACCACTCCTGGCGTGCCAAGTTAATGGACACCGAATTACAGGCCTTGCAGATTCTGGGGCTGATGTTTCCATAATAAAAGACTCAGAATGGCCACTCAACTGGCCTACTGTTTGCCCAGCTGCAACCATTCAGGGGGTGGGAGGCACACAAAGGCCCAGACAGAGTGCTCAAATACTCACTGTCTTGGGACCAGAGGGACAATTAGCAAAGGTAGCTCCATTCATAGCTCCAATCCCTTGCTCCTTGTGGGGACAGGACGTACTTTCACAATTTGGTACAGTCATGCAAATACCTCCTGCAAGCAGCCAGGTTTTTCAATAAGGGCCATTGGTCAGCCGTCCCAAGCACCAATTAAGCTAGTCTGGAGGACTGATCAGCCGCTCCGGGTAGACCAGTGGCCCTTGAAAAAAGAACGGCTTGAACGTTTAAAAAAGCTTGTAAAGGAGCAATTAGAAGCAGGACACATTGTGCCAACAAACAGCCCCTGGAATACTCCTGTATTTTGCATCCCCAAAAAGACTGACAAATACAGGATGCTGCAGGACCTCAGAGCAGTCAACTCAGTCATTGAGCCGATGGGGGCATTGCAACCAGGGTTACCCTCACCTGCTATGCTTCCAGCGAACTGGCCACTAAAAATAATTGATTTAAAGGACTGCTTTTTTACCATCTTTCTGCACCCCAAGGATGCGCCAAGATTTGCATTTTCCATCCCGGCGCTGAACAACTCACAGCCTATGCAAAGGTATCACTGGGTTGTTCTTCCTCAAGGGATGAGGAATAGTCCTACCATATGTCAAACAGTTGTGGCAAACACTATTCAGCCCATCAGAAAGCGTTTTCCTTCTGCAATAATTTCCCACTACATAGATGACATTTTAATTAGCATGGCCACAGAAAATGAACTGCAAATTGTTGTTACTGCTCTGACTGATGCTGTCCAAGAAGCAGGGTTGCAGGTTGCTCCAGAGAAAATCCAGCGATCGCA